CCTGCCAGTGTCTCCCTAAATGGTTGAGTCCAGTGGGATGCAGGGCCACAGCTCCAAGACTGTCAATTGGGTTCAGGCCTCAGATAAGACGCCATGACTTCCCAGGGTAGAAAAAGTTTGCACACCAGAGCTAAAGCACTGCTGTCTAAACATTAGATGCTACCTCAGGTGTGTTATGCAGATTGGTCTTTCTGCATATCCTTCTCTTTGCATATTTCAGAGGTGCTTTCAAGCCTCCTACTTAGCCCACCTCACAGTACACACATAATTCCTATCATTCGCACAGTTACTCATTCTCTAGCCACCCTCTTTCTGAATAATTAAAATCCAAATTAGGGCTGGGCATGGTGGCTCATGCCTGTAATCCCAACACTCAGGAGGCTGAGGCAAGAGGATCCTTGTGAGTTCAAGACCAGCCTCGGCTACAAAGTGAGCTCAAGGCCAGCTTGAATGCATAGTGAGACCCTGTCTCAGAAAGACCAAAAAAAAAGGAAGAAAGAAAGAAAGAAAAAAATCCAAGTTAGGCCCTGGGTTGAGGCCTTGGTTCCAATGAACCTTCATCCTGGTCAGACTGAGGACCCCTTGGTTCCCCATAACTGTAAGTATGTCTTAGCGTCTTTATCCTTGCTGTAGGTTGTACTGGAGGTGGTAGATTGGAATTAACTTGCTAGAATTCCAGTAAGTTTTCCATGGGATTACAAATATAAACTTCTCAGACTATAATGAGGATGGGAAAAGGGACTTTTTAAAGTTTAATACACTTGTTTTTACTACCACAAAATTTTAGCTATAAGTTTTCTTATGAAAAATTGATAATTTAATATCTAAGCTTTAGCAAAGAGATGTTCTAATTTAGAGACTTGGATACTTTTAATGTTGTCTTCCTGGCATATCTGGACCTGCAATGTCATATTTAGTTTTAAATAATTTATGAAAATGAGAGTAAAGGTTTTTGGGGAGTGGGGCTCGAACTGTCTTAGACTGGCTATGATTTTAGCAGATGCCACCACAAGGTAGGACACACACTCAAGAGGCCTTTTTCAGAGTCAGTGGGACACTGACCCCTTACACTGCAGCAACTTCCAGAGGAACTCCAGGTGAGAATCACTGCCATAGACTGATGATTCAGGAAATATCCAGTTCTTCAGTGTTAACCAATAGCCTTCGATAGTTTTGGTACAAGGATGGATTTATTGGATTTTTCTTTTTAAAAATGTTTGTGTTTTCCCAGCTCTTGAACACCGAAATTTTAGCCTCCAAATCTATATTCCAAATCTTGAACATGAAAAAAATGGCTACAGCAAAAAAAGCAAAACTGAAAACAGATGTTGGAAGGTTAATCCAAGACTCATTTGGAGTGAATGAATGTAATGTATTCTGCACAGTGAAAGTGTTATGGGTCCCACATCAAGTGGCAGACGGCACTAAACTTGATGAAACTGAGTTTGTTGAAGGGAAATTGAGGAAATATTCTCAATATCTTAGTTTTTGCAACTATCATTCTAAAGTAGCTTCCAATTTTCAAATATCACTGAGCATAGCAAAACATGGAAGGCCCCTCTCAGACGGGATTTTATCAAAATGGCCATGTTGTCTGGGAGTAATTCCCTTTTTCATGATTTTCCAAACAAGGATAAAATTATTCAATGCATCTCTAAGATGCCACTTAGCAGAACTACTGTAAATGATTGAGTCCTGCACATGGCCAGTGATGTTAGCAGATCACCACTGACTTACAAAAAAAACCCTGTTACTACATGTGCTTGGATGAAAGCACAGATATAAATAATCATACAATGCTAGGAATAATTTTGTTTTGCTATTGTCATCATGAGTGAAGAGCTGGTAAAACTGGTATCTTTGTCTTGAAGAACACAAGGGATTGGTATCTATAATGCTGTGATGGAGGCTTTTTGTCACAAGACATAAGACCAGAAAAAGTGATTTGAATTACTAATGATGGAGCACCTTGTAGAGTAGGGGCAACATCTGGTTTTATATACTTCTTTTGCAAAGAAGCAAAACATTCAACCATCTTGTTTCATTATATTATACATCAAAAACTTTTGTGCTAGAGAAAGCAGCAAAAAGAGCATATCTAAAGATGTCACAAAAATGGTGAATTACGGGAGCTGGGGATTTAGCTCAGCGGCATAAGCGCCTGCCTTGTAAGCAGGCAGTCGTGAGTTCATTCCCCGCTACCGATAAAAAGGAAAAAGATAAAAAAAAAATGGTGAATTATATTATTGCTCATGCTTTTGACAGTTTCAAGCACTTCTTGATAAGATTCAGGCACAGTATAATACTTATGTCCTGCAGCTGAACAGAGGATGAATACTGGAGAGATTGGTAGGGTCTTCAGTTCACAAGTTTCTCCTTAGTCATGCTGAATCAAGGGGTTGTGCCCATTATAGAAGCCCAGGCTTGATGGAGAAGCCACTTATTCAAATAGCCCCAGTGACTGTACCAGGGATGAGAAAGCTTTGGAGGGTTTCACACTGGCAATTACATTCTCCAGCCTAGAAAGGATATGTGTAATTTCTGCTCACAAGTCATTGGGTGGCACTAGTCAAATGGCCTCACCCTACTATAGTCAGCTGAGAAATCTAATTCTATCCAGTGCCCAGGGGACAGGAGTATCCATCAAAGGGCACCAGAGACTCCCAGAGCTGGATGTGATGCACATGCCTGTAACTGAGGGTCTTTTTGCAGGTAGACCCTCATCTGCCTCTTGCATCTGCTCCAGAGAGCAGAGCAAAGGTGAAGGGTGAGAGGTGGGAGAACACTGAGTAAGGTGGATTCAAACAGCAGCGGCAGCATCCTTTTGGAGCAGCTCACACAAAACACTGGTCTGGAAAGTATCCTGCCAGGAAAGCGCACGCAGAGGCCTTTGGCCTTAGCTGCCTCTGGGATGGCTCATGCCAGGTCTTAGGGATTTCCAGCCTTGCTGAGCTCCTCCAAGTGGACCCTGACTCCAGGCAGAGCCTGTGGCCTGCAGCAGGGAATACAAGACCCTGAAATCCTTCTAACCCACTGCATCTGTGGAGAGAGCATTCCAGGCACTCCCTTCTTCCAAAGTATTTACTTAGTACTATGAGTCTTAATTTTTGTTTTGTTTCGAACCCAGGGTCTTCCCCAGTCATTCCCCCTTTTTTAAATTTATATTTTGAGGTAGGGTTTACTAAATTTCTGTACCTTGGCCTGCACTTACTTGGTCTTGTCCCTATCCTAGCAGCAGGCACCTCCCACAGTGCTGTGGGACACCCCAGGCCCTTTCCTCACTGCCTACTGCTTGGGGCTGATTCCAGCTACTTAGGGGAGGGGAGGGCTGTATCCTCAGAGGGAAAGAGCTCTTCTAGGTCTTGCTGTGTGGCTGTGGATTCTCTCTCTCTAACTTCCCAAGTCCATCTTTTTCCTAGCTGACCTGAGTCCTGCTCCAGAGGGGGGAGGAACAGTTCCCCCGACCCTCTCAGAGAGTGCCATGCAACCTCTCTAGCTTTGTCCCTCCACCTGGTGAGTGGTTATTAGTATCTAGGGTTGGGCACAGAGCAAGAGTGCCTTTCTCTGGCCAGCGCATCCCGTTCCTAAATCAAAGGAATGGCAACTATATACGACAGGAGAGGTAGAAAATTTCCTGTGATAACATGGGGTCTGGGAGGGTGTGTGGTGGGAGCGACAGGAAACTTCTGGCCTGGCCTGCTTGTGATACGAATTCCCAATCTACTCATTTCATTGTGACGGGGCTGCAACCAGTTCCCGTCTAATTGCTGCAGTCCTGGCACCAGGCTGGACATGATTAGTGACACCATGGTACCCCTGGGCATTCCCCCTACCCATGGGCATGGAGAATAAGGCCACAGCAGGCTGGTTGAACAGTTGAGTGTATACACGGTAACCTCTGGTAGCAATCACAGACCATCCAAGTTCCTTGCACTGTAGGGTGTATCACATAGCACGTATGTGTAATCTCCTGTTAAGCTCTGTGCTTTTTGTGTTGACCAGCCTCATAGTTGCCAATATACAGCAATTTAATCAAAGAACAAAGCCTGCACTACAATGCATATCTATCGTAACTTCCAATTATTATCAACAACGAATGAATTACACTGTGTTAGTTGCTGTGGACATCGCTTTGAACAAGAGTTCCCTTCCTTAGAGACCAAAGAGGCCAACATTGAACAAGAGTTCCTTCCTTAGAGACCAAAGAGGCCAACATTTAAACTATTTATTGCAATACTGTGTGGCGCCCCATAATCTTCGTAGGGTCACCTTCGTAGGTGTAGAAGTGAGGGTGTTCAGTTTCCAGATCTAGAAAGGAGGCTACAAAGGAAAATCAACCCCCAGCGAAAATCTATTTAGCTAAAAAATGACAGTGGGCTCTGAGGGGCAAGGCAGAGGCAGTCTGTAGGAGAAAACCTGTGATACCGGGCTGGCCTTGGGCTGTGGCGGCGATTAGGGATCTTGCCTCTGTGTGTGCCCTGGGTCAATTTACGGGAAAGGAACCAGTTAAGTCGCTCCATTAGTGCCATAGGTATCATTAGCTAATTGACCCGAATCTCCAGAACTGTTCGGACCCTCTTATACCCGCGGGTTTACACACCTGGCCACCTCTTAAATCTTTCTTCGTTTCCCTGTCAGGTCTGTCTTCTTTCGCTTTTCATTAATGTATGCTCGCCCTGGCCTACATCCCACTAGCCGGCGTCCCTGGACCGCCCACGCCCAGCGTCTCCAGACCGGTTCCAAGACTGCAGCAATGGTCACGTGTAGCGCGTCCGGCCACGGAAAGAAGGAACCCGAGTGGGGCAAGGCAGGCCTGCGGGACACGGCCCTAAGCGTGAGGCGGCTTCTCATTGGTGGAAACTTCTTCCCTGCCTCTCGCGGCTTGGAAAACCAGTTTTGGATTGGCTGATAGGTCCTTTGGTAGGCGTGGCCTCCAGGGGGCGGGAGAGAGCGGAAGAGAGGGCGCGCTCCCGAGAAGAGGGGTTGCCTGGACGACAGCGAGGGCGCGCTCGGGGGGTGAGGAAGCGAGCTGGGCTGCTGATGACAAATCGGCAAGGGACTGCTGGGGTCCGGCCCCGGGAGGGGGCGGGGCGCATTTAAGAACGGCGGGCCGGGTGCGGAGTCGCGAGGCTGTGCCGGAAGGGTCCCAGGTAGGGGTGCCGCGCCCTAGCAGGGCCTGGGGGTGGGGTGGGCCAGGGAGGTGGGCGCGCCGCCCTATACTCGCCCGGTGTCTCCTGTGGCCGGGCGGCTGTCGGGCTCCTCGAGGCTGGCAGAGGGCGACGTCTCCTTGGTAGCGTCCAGCTCGCCTCCGGAGGTCCGGGATGGCGAGAGCTTCGGCCTCCCAGATCGGCCCGGGGCTGGAGACGGGGGCGGCGTCCCTGCTTCTCTCGTTGCCGCTCCTTCCCTTTTCCCACAAATGGCCACAGCTTCCACTTCCTGCCCTTTTGGGCCTCCCACCCGTCGACGGTCCACTTCCTCAGTCCCTGAGTTGCCGCGTCGGGCAAGATAAGTGGTAAAATGTTGCAGAAACTTACTGTTATGGTAGGAACTTGTACTTGGGGTGACCTGGGGCCCAGTTCTGAAACTTTTCTCGCTGTTTGCGTTTGGTCCTGTCTTGCAAAGGAGCCCCTTCCACTGCCCAGCTCTCCTTTCTTATAGGGCCCCGCTTGCTCCGAAGTTGGCAGGGCAGAGGAAGCCCAGAGACTTTAACTGGTCCGTCGCGGCTCGCGTTAGGTGTCCGAGGTGGGCTCACAACTACTGGTTACAGAGGTCTCTACGTCCGGACTGCCTGTTTGCTTAGCGACCTTCTGTCTGTGCGCATTTCCAGGAGAAATGGTGGTGGGAGGGGGTTTCCTCCTGTCAGGTGGACTGATTTAGAATCGTCGGTGTAAGAGACTCAGTTGATTGTTCATTTCAGTTATCTGCGCTTGACTTCAGTTCTTGTAGAACAGAGAACTTTCTGCTCTGTCCTAGATTGCTAACCTCATTTCTTCTTGTTAACTTTTGGGATGGAGAGTGGGATAGCATCTTTTAGATGTGCAAATGACCGAGCTTCTAAACAGAGCGGTGGAATTCTTGGATGTCAACCCCCAGAACAGGTTCAGGCAGTGTTCCTTATACCTTCTGGAATAGAAACAGGATATCAGAGAAGCTAAAAAATTAGGAAGGACAAGGGATGGGGTTTGAATACAAAGCATGGGTGGTGACTCTGGAATTTTATTAATAGTGTGATTTTGAGCCTCCAGAGTCAGCCCAAGAAGGTGATAATATTATCCTCATTGTTAATAAGAGACACAGAGAACACTTGAGGTGTTCTTTGGGGTAGTGGGGCTGGTGCTGGGATTTATTTAGTAAGTGTCACTCAAGGGTGATCACCATCCTGTGGTACTGTTGGGAGACAGTGGAACCTTTAAGCCATACAGCCTAGGGGGGAAATTAGATAACTGGAATGTGCCCTGAAGGGGATATGGGGATCGTGGCTCCTTCCAATCTTTGTTTCCTGGTCCCCATGAGGTGAGCAATTTGCACCACCACAATGTGCTGGGCACCACAGGCCAGTTGACTGTAGACTGAAACTTTCCTAACTTTGAGCCACCTGTGCTGGAGATTGAACCCAGGGGCTCGTGAGCCCGGGAAGCACTGCACTATATTAAATACAGCCCAACTTTTCCTTTTTTAAAGTTGAATACCTTAGGGATTTGTCATAGCACTAGAAAGCTGAGTCCCATGGGTAGGAAATAGCCAGGGATACACATCCCTTTAGGGTGGTTTTAGTCTTGTTAGCTACTCCAATTTATTCTGACCACATCTGAGTCTTGCATTCCTTTCATGATTTTGGTGTGGATGATGAACCCCAGCCGTGCACAAGCTAAGCATATCTACCACTGAACTGACCCTCAGGCCCTTCCCTTCCTTTTCTATTCATATTATTTCCCTTGAAAACAGTAGATTCTCTTATCTGAGAACCCAGTGAGATTTTCCTGTGCCTAAGCATTTTCCCAGGCTTTGTGTGGAAAAAGTGTGGGTATACATTACTAGATATCTTCTGGAAAAACAAGACCTGGAAAACCAAGAAACACAAGAATTGGCTTTCAGGGGAATTTGAAGAGGTCATGGGAGGAGTGGAAACGTTCTAAATTCTTGCCTTGAAATTCTTTAAGGTTCTTGCCTTGGGTGAAAATGGATTGAGACTTCATGAAAAAATTTAAAGCTAAAACTCAAGCTAATCCTTTGTACTGTAACTCTCCTGTACCTCTCATGTTGAATTACTAAATTCTTGTTTACTTTATGGAAGTTGGAAACATCACTAGGGACCTTTTCTGAAAGCTAGTTTTGAGACAATGTAGCAGTCTAGATCTGCAGGGTTCTGAGAGATCTTGGCAAATTTTCAGAAGGTTTTCAGTATAATTTTTCTCAAATAAAATACAGAGGTCCCATTTTGTTGGCTCCAAGTCCTTAGGAATGAGTTCCTTTCCAGGAGAATCCTTTGTAAGTTGGATTTTTTCATGAGCCAACAGTAAGTCTTATACAGTGCTCTTATGGAGAGTTTGCAACTTGAATGTTGGTAAATTGGGGACTTTCTGTACTTTTAAACAGCTCCTGCTGTTAGACATGGCAAAATACTTGGGTGTTTTTATTTTGTTTAAATGATGCATGTTGTTGAGAAGTCTTAATGTTAGATCAGGGAGAACAGAGTGTTGGGAAGAATAGACTACTTCCTTCTGCAATCTGGTGTGGTCAGGAGGAGCAGAGAAACCATCATTGAGCATCAGTTACTCATTGATCTAACTGAGATCTACACTTCTGACCTTAGAGCTTTAACCATGAGCTGTCTCCATTAGCGTCTCCGTTCTTTTGGTACCTAGGAATATAAACAGGGAAGAATATATGCATGTATTCTTAGGTATTCCAAACAGTAACTAGTAGGTGAGAGGGTTAATGTATGTGCTTCTGGATGACAAGAGTGAAAAGAAAGATGTGGAGGATGTGAAAGCTCAGTGTCAAAGAGCAGTGGTACACGTGGTTACGGTGACAACTACAAAATGCCAGCTAAGTCTCAGCCTCAGGTTTGTCACTTCATATTTATTTATCTTTTGGTATCAGGAATTGAACTCATGATCTTGTGCATGCGAGGCAGGCACTTGTGCCACTGAACTATATCCCCTGCCATGTTTGTCACTTTAAAGAAAAGTGACTGTTTATCGTTTTCCTGAGCATTCTTTGAGAGTTGTTTTTTTTTTTGATAGTGGTATGTTGGAATCTAACTCAGGACTTCATACCTGCTAGGTAAGTGTTATACCACTGAGCTGTACCCCCAACCCAAGAAGTTTTTTAAATTAAAATATGCTTGCAGAGAAAAGTGCCATTAATTGATAATCTCTAATGTGTTGCTGTCTTTGCTTTGTGGACAACTTATAGTATATTTGAGACCCATTGGATTGACTTTGCAAGTTAAGCCTGGTCCAAATTAAAATATTCCAAACTGTGTAATTTTACTTGGTGACTGGCATGAGTTGAAGGCCCTTAGGCTGGCTACCTCTAAAGTTTATCTGCCTTCTTAGTGAATTTTTTATTGCTGTGTAACAAGTGCCCCTAATTTTAGTGACTGCAGTTCAGAATCTGGGCCAAAGTTAGCTGGGTACTGTGGTGGGTCTCTCTGGGTTGCAGTCATTGGCAGGCTGGTTGAACTGAGGCTGAGGAGCTGCTTCAAGATGGGGCACTTGCATGGCTGTTGGCTGGTAGCTGGTGTCCTCAAGATATGAGAGCCTCTTCCTAGGGCTGCTTTGCAAGATGGGGGCTAACCTTCTCACTAGAGCTGATGGCCTAGGGGAGAGAGAGATGGAATCAACTGGGCAACAATGAGGATGGGAGCTGCACTGCCTTGGCATCTAGTTTTGGAAATGACTTAATATCACTTCCACCAGCAGACAAACCAAACCTGGTACAATGTGTAGAAGGGTGGCATGAAACACCATTGGCATTCTTGGAGGCTAGCAAACCTAACTTTGTGTGTATGTGTGTGTGTCTGTGTGTGTGTATGTATATGGGTAAGGTTTAGATGAGATATTATTGAGAAAATCTTTAAGATGCTCAGTAATGTGTATAGGAGATTAAGACGCAGCTGGAGGTTTTGCTGTTTTACATATTATACATGAAACTTTGTTCTTTGTTCTGGTTTGAATTGTCAGTTGCTAGAATTAATTAGCCAAAAATGCAGTCGCTTTGGAAATTAGAAATTTAAATCTTGCTGGTTCCTAAACCAAATGGAACAGCTGAATTTTTTTTGAACCTTAAAACAAATTGAGCTAAAATTATTGCCAAAGTTATCTCCTTGAAAACAGCTTATAATTAGTCATTAATGATCTGTATATTCTTAAAAATAATGCTCACTTGCAAAGTAACTGAAAAAATTGGAGAAATTAAAGCCTCCCTCCCTCCTATTATTTTTAATCTTTGGGAGGTGTTTATTTGCCTAATAAACACCTTCATTCTTTCTTGAAACTCTTAGACATTTTAATTGTCCACCTGGATAGAAGGACTTTATTGTTTTAGTGTCCAGATGAAATCTTCCTGAGTAGAAAGAAGCTTTTGGGACTCGTGAACCGAAAACCTGGCTCACTAACCTCTACATCTTTCAGCTTGAAAAAATTCTGTCCTAATATTTTCATGAAACAAATCTCTTCTTAATGAATTTGAATGTGGCATATTTATAACAAAAGGTCACATTAATCGTATTAAATTGTGAGATGCGCTTTTGTTCTTCCCAATCCAGTTGGAGACTGTTGGAATCACCATTGGGCAGAGTGGAAAAGTAAGCGCAGTTTGCATTTCCTCCATTTCCTAGTTTGGCCCTTTTCCCATGCTGCCCTAATTTGTAAGCTAATATCTTTGTTTCTTTTGTTTCATCCTACCTTTCCCACAATTCCCCTCCTTCCTTCCACAGGAAAGAATTGGTGGCCATTTATTGTTGATCAGCTAGCTGTCCTGAACAAATTTCTGCCAGTAGGATGCCTCTAGTAAACCTTGCATATTGAACTTTTAAAAAAAAAATCTCAGATTACATCTGTTCATTGGGTAATTGCTGCCATTTTTAGCATCCTAATTGTTCTAAGATCCAGCCACTTCCCCCATGTCCACTGTCACCCCCTTG